TTGGCGCAGTTGTCGCAGGGCGAAAGAAGAGAGCCCAACCTTAATAGCAATTAGACAACAGTTCCCTGGTACATAACATCTAATGTTAGATTTGTCATAGATTTTATAGAGCCCAATAAATATTTCGCACATTTGAGAAGGTAATGGGAATCTCATCTCAATCGAAATCACTACTGAGCTTATCATACCCAAATAGCTCTAAAACCAATTAACTCAACGGAGGATTTCTCGCCAGTTGGAAAATACCAAAAGAGGCCAGGTCACGCTCCACCGGAGTGGAAGTCTTCCTTTTTCTCTGCTTCCACCTCTGCAGTACTGCATCGAATACTTTCAAAGCTGGAGTGCTTTCATCCATTCGCATGACATGCCCTACAGCTCATTCCATCGTCATTTCCAAGGCGCATACATAGGAACATAAATCGTTCGCAAAACTTTTCTCTCTCCACCTCCTAAGTCCGACTCATCAGATGTTATCATCGTCAACGCTTCTGCGCCATATAGAAGGAATGGTATGATGAGCGGCTTGTTGAGTTTGGTTTTCGTTCGCCGAGAGAGAACTTTACTTTTCAATTGCCTACTCAGTCCAAAGTAGCTCCTCTTGGCAAGAGTGATAATGCGTTGGATTTCAACACAGCTGGTAATCCACAGCACACTTCAGCCAATAGGCTCATTGGGATACCGCTGAAGCTCCTTATTGCCTTCACCTTCTCAAATGATCAAACCATTTCGTGTGTCTTATAAAGGCAACGAGATTTCCAATGTTCGCTGAGGCCAACTCAGCGAGACAGTCGAAGAGGTATTTCCCAAGGAACTTGTGTCGCGCGGATGTCACGGCTGAAAATGGCAGAGGTCGTGCTCGTGGGTCTCTTCCTCTTCTTCGTCCCTACAGCTGCGGCAGAAATCGTTAAGAGTAACAGCCCCACCCATTAAACTGTGTCCTGTTATTATACCAGTCGTTATGTTATTGAAGAACCGATCCAGGAGGATAAGATTTTTTGATTTTTTCGCGTCCAACTTCGGCCATAACTGTCTGGTGACGTTGAACGTGATCTCGTTCAACCATAGTGAGTTGAAGGTCAGTTTAAGCATGTACTTAGCCGTGGACAGAGGTAAACCGGCATCGTGTGTGTGTGTGTTTCATCGTAAATAGGATGTTTTCTTCCCTCGTTAGTTCGTCTGTCATGCAATTGCCTGGGATGTCCCTGTGTCCAGGTACCTAGACCACGGCAGTATTGTACTTAGTTAAGAGTTTGCTGAGAGTGTTCCTACAATTTATGGCCACTTTTGACGTGGTAGCGTTATATTGAAGATATCTGATTGTAGCCTGACTATCGGAAAAATTGTAATCGATTGTCCTGCTGCCGTAGATTTGTGTAACCACTTGGCGACCTCCATGATTGCGAAGAGCTCCGCCTGGAAAACGCTGCAGTGATCCGATGTTATTATGCTCATGCTTACTGGGAGCACGGGAGAGTAAATTCCGCCCATCAAGCTTCGAACCGTCTGTGAAGATGGCTATTGCTCCCTGGTTGAGGGGGTTAGTCTTTTCCCACTCGCATCTCTTTGGGATTCTCTTGTAGAAGAGATTATCGAAGCAGCCACTGGAGGTGGTGTAGCCCAGCACCTTCGGCACTTCTGTAAGAGATAATATTTTTGTATGTCCTATACTGCATATCTTCCAGGGTGGCATTCAATCTTATTGCCTCAGTAATAATTTGCTTGCATTGCTGGAGTCCATTTCTTTTTATAACGCTTTTCCATTAAGGAAAGCTCCTCCACCCCTCACGGCTTAATATTTGTCTAAGCGTGTGACTTTGAAAAATATGGTCAGAAAGCCGGAAAGCTCAAGAGCCACTCCCCCATAATTTAGTACTTCACTCACAAAGCCGGTACAGCCGGTCATTTGACTTAACCGCCAAGGAATGCAACGATGGAGCACTATACCCACACCCTTTGCCTTGCTAGAGTATTTCTTGTTTACACCACATTCTAACTCTAACCCGAAGACAAAGCAAATATGGGGTATACATATTAAACAATTTTTATAAGCCAACAGTTAAAGAAAAATGGGGTGGCTTTCTTACGTGTAATAGCCAAAGCACCAGCAAATCACTGACTTAACCAAACATTATAGGAATTCCGCACCCCAACGGCGTAGCAGCTGTACGGCTCTAGCAGCAACAACGAAATTTATCCACAATTTGCGTGCATCAGCAAAACTTTATGACATTTCGTGGTTTCTTGGTGGGGTATGGGGATAAAGTCAAAGGCGTGTGAGTTTGTGCTGTGCGGCACTTTACTAATGGCAATCGTTTGGTAGCGCTTTTGAGACGCTTATCAGTGACGTTGCGGGCAGACACAAGTGAAACGCATAAAATTCCAGCAAATGCAACCAAGAAAGTGTTTACGAGTGAGACGGGAAAAAGCGTTTTTTTTCTTTTGAGTTGGAAGGCGCGCTCGTGACCTCGTCCGTGTGGAAACAACTGCTTTTCATATTGCTTGACGTGTGGCATTTTTTTCAAATAACTTCAGCCGACTTATGAAGTTACGCCCGCCCCCTGAAAATTGAACCTCCTATAGTTCACAACCATCTTTAGGAATTTAGAAATACATCGTAGCAAACCGTACGACAGACGGAAAGAACTCGTGCCGCAGACACGTCGGTAAGTGTAAGTAGAGGAAGAGTGTATTAGCAGGAGACATGCCATGCGAAAGGGATGGCCAAATGTGAAGGCCTTAGCAGGTGACTACATTTTCTCAAAAGACGGCTTTATCAATTTATGTCTCCCTGCCGGCGAGACCTGCTATCCGCGCACGCAAGAAATCAGCCAAGTGACAGTTGAAAAAATTACTGAATTTTATATTTATTTACTCCTTCTTCATTTTTTTTTTTTTGGAGGCACAGAAGATTGAGAGTTAATGGGAAATACGGAAGTTCTTTGGCTGCAACTGCATGCGAATTTTCCACTAAACAATTTATTTCATTTTACCGTTATATTATTTTGCTATTTGCCAATGCCGAAGCAATGGAGTGCAGAAAGGAGGTCTTCTCTTTCTATCGGGAAGGGAATTGGTAGATTTCTTGGCGCGTGTGCAAATCAAATAAAAATTGTGATAACAAATTTTTTCGTGTTTAGAAGAAAGTACCGTTATATGTTAGGGCAATTACAAAGTAAATAAAACTACATCACACAAGTACATATGTAAGCAAATGTAAATAGAGAATAAATAAAAATGTTGCGGAAATTTACTATCTGATGTCATTTTCGAGAAACGATGTACTCGTACTAAAATGCATCAGAGGATGGACCGTGTAGGGAGGTCCACACAAGTGAGGAAAGTATGTTATGATAGTATAGTACACCTGGGAGTGGCCAAATGGTTCAGGCAACTCACGACTGCCGGTCTTAGGCCAAATATCCACTTAGTAGCTAAGTCACATCAGTTTGTAGACGAGTTAAGGCAGGAAAGCGAATCCCTGTGGCTAGATTTTAGACCCACAACACAGAATTATATATATTTGGCATTTTGCTGGAATGATTTTCGACCAAGCTCCTCCTCCAATTGTTTTCCCAAGCCGCTTCTTGGAAATATCAAGCTCTTCTCTGCCGAGGGACGATCCCAATTATAACCATAACTGGAACCAGAGTGGCAGTATGCGTTGCCAACCACTTAGCTATGGCAGACGCCGCAAAATTAAAAATAATATAATAAATCCATCACAACATTTTAAGGTCCAGGATTTGAGGGCGGGCACCTGTAATGCCCTGTATCTTAATTGAGAAAATGTCGCTGCCTAGTTGGTTGATATTCTTGTAGAAATGCGAGTATCTAGCCTTTAGCCGATTAGGACGTCACACCACATTCACTGGTGCTTCCAGCGCCAAACTACGCATAGTTGGAAGAAATTAAAAAAAAAAAACACTTAAAACCGAGCGAACTGCTTGCAAACGCATATTCTGGGGAAACCCACGAGAGCACAATGAGTTTTTGTTGTTGTTGTTGCGGTTCGCTAATCCCACTTCAGAGCAGACTAGATCAGTCTTAGTGATGGAGGTCATCTAATAGGAGGTCATGGAAACGAGCTGTTTCGACGGGATTTTACCATGGGGAAAGGAGGGTTGGATGAATTGGTTTTAGGGCATATGCAAGTTAATGGTTAATGTCGTGAGGAGACTAATTGCGTGCGGAACATCTGTTGTGTATGTCGGGGTCAAGTCCGGATGGGTAGGAGTTTACCCGATTTACTACATATAATATCCAGATCTAAGTTGTGTCAGTATTACGGGCGACTCTCGTGGTAACGCGAGCTCTTCGCCTGCAATAGACGGTGGTGTGGATCACGACAGCTGGATCAACTCACCGGATTTTATCCAGCCAAGGGCTGTCATACTTTCGGTGAACTAACCCCGTTTAGGTCAGCAGGTAACATAAGCCTAAGCACAATGAGCGTACTCAAATGCTGAGGTCTTGTCTCGTGCTATCAGGTCTTCCAGTGTTTGACTTCCCCGAAGCGACTGATATCCAAAAAGCAAAGTAAGACTCAGCATTTTGGAGGATAGGGAGATAGGAGGAATGAAGACGAAAGACGTCCATTTAACTCGGTTGTTTTGCTCAATCCGTAAAAAAACTCTATTCCACTGAAGCGTTTTAAGCTTAAATTAAAATATATGTGCTGTAGACAACTTTCTAGCCGAGTTGTTAACATCCGCCACTGTCTTTCTGAAGTCCAGAGTTTGAGTCCGAATTCGATCAACATCCAAAATATAGAAAATTTATTTTTCGAACTGCGATCGCCCTCGGCAAGGAATGTTAAGTGTATTTCTGATATGAAATAGGCGGCCGTTCAAGCAACATTATATCCTATCGTGTGTCCTTTCGCTTTTTATTTATTAATATACTTTTGTTAGAGGAGCTAATGACATATATCAGATATTTTCGATAATAAATTATAATTTCCTTATTCCAAACATGCAAACAATCATACATAACTTTAGTGATTATATCCGAAAGCCAGAAGCCTATAAGCAACATTTAATTATTTTATGTGTTATTACAAATTAGTCGTAAACATAAGAATGTTTTGCAAAATTTAACAAAAGTACAATTAATATATTTTGTATGTATAAAATCTAAATTCTAATGCCTTGATGTGATGACCCACGTTAAGGGTTTACAAACAATGCGTTTGGCTTTGCTAAGGATGATCGTTTGAAATTTGTTTTCGTCCTCCACAACCTGCGCCACATAATACTACATCGGCATAAATTAAGTGTTCTCTACTACTCACTAATGTCTTTATATTATCTAGAGTAGCCATGACAGCACGCTCATATATGATAGTGTCATAGCACAACTTTCCACAGGCACACAGAGGAGATTCAGCAAGAATATCCAGCAATAACCAGGGTATTGTGCTAGCTGAATAACTTAGTTTATAAGCACAAACAGCACGAGCTGCTAAAAGCCACAACGGTGGTGTACTATGAACACTGTTCTCCAAATTTACTATATGTTCTGTTTTCATACCGAATTTATTACCCCACACATCTAATACAACAATACGCATTGTATTGAAATCTGATGGCAGAGAAGTAAGTAAATTCGAGGCAAGGTATAAATTGCGTAAATTACGTAATCTTCGAAATCCGAAAGGTACTCTTCTTATTTTGTTATTACTCAGCTTCAGTCCAACCATCTGCTCGAGGTGTATGAGTTCACGTGGAAAGTAGTTTAATTCATTTGCAGATAAATCTAATTCTCGCAATGTTTTACGTATTTGCTTGCCGCGCAACCACTCCCAATCGTTGGCTGTGCCTAATTGGTTGTTGTTGATTGTGAAGGACACAAGCGGTAGACGACCCATCTCACGGGGCACCTAAAAATAAATCAGATATGAATTTAAAAAAAAAAATAATAATAAGATTTAATAAAATTAGTATTAGTGATTTACGTACTTTGGATATTTGATTATCACTTAAATCGAGCACAGTTAAATTACGTAACGAGCAAATGTCGAAAGTTACTTTGATTAGTTGTATATTTGAAATTTTCAAAGATTTTAATGTGCGTGGAAATCCTTTTCTTGGATAATCCCCTCGACGCAGTACTGTCATTTTCTCTTGTGGCTGTGATCGTTGTGGTATGGCCGTAGCGGCCGCTATGTTCAGTCTTAAATTTATCGAATCTTTACCCTCCAAGCCCAGCTTGATAGTTTGTAGGAAACCTTTTAGCTGAATGGGGTCACAATTGATCATAAGATTTACAGGAGGTTCTTTGAAGCCAATGGTAACTTTGCCGTCACGCAAAAACTTGGAGAATATTTTCTCAATGTTATTGGTAACTTTAAAACGTTCTCCCACTTTATTTTGTGGCGTGAAGTGCATGATTTCCAAATGTCTTGTACTATTTCCATCTGAATCTTTTGTAGAATTGTTATAACCCACAGCAAGAGTTGATTTAACATAACGAGGTGACCGATTACGTTGAGTATGCCGATCATGTAGCATTGTTTCACAAAGAATTTTCATTTTAAATGTATTTAATTTTTGTTACTACATTGATCAAGTCTTCTATTGAGTACTTTGCTCTTCTTAATGCATACAACTCGATTATAAATATTAGCGTTTTCCAGAGGATGTATTAAAATGTTTTCTTGCTTAGAGATTCTTTTATTGACAAAGGCATTGCTATTTCTGCATTGTATTTACATGAGCTTTCAAACTGTGCGTAAATAACTGGCAAATATCGTCTTCAGTGCTGGGAAAAATATTTAATTTTCTCAAAGAACGTATACAATAAGAGATCGTATTTACCAGCAATAATGAACGTATAACAGTGACGTTCAATCAGGTTTTTTCCGGCCAAGAGCTTTTACCCTTTCGACGACCTAACACCGCTTACGTCAGCTGCTAGAATGAGTCTTAAGACGTCCGAGCCAACAGTTCTATGCTGAAAGAAGTTCATCAGGTAACATTGTGTGTTTATGTTGTTGTTGTAACCTCAAAATTTTCCTCGAATTGGACGGAAAAAAAATTCGGGTCGTTCCGGTATAAAGTCTCGACTGTCACGAGTACTAAGCCTTACTGCGGGTTAATTTTTGAGCCTCTAACCCGCAGGGGTATTATGTCTTTTCGTCTCTCCTCCGGGTGCTGCCGACCAGCGTCTGGAGGATTCGTGTGCCCTGGTCAAAGGTTGTTACTTTCTCACCGACGCATCCCCGTTTGCGTTCCAATAAGCTACTAAATATTATGAGCAGTGCGACGTACCAGATCCTGCTGAATATCAAGCAGGATTGTTAAAAAGAATCAAGAACTCATTTTGGCATGAATTTAATTTCGAAATTTATTTAACTACAACTTAAAATGTATTTATTTTAATATATTTTTCTCTTCACTATTAAATATTATGCGTAACTGTGTAATAGCTATACACATACATATACATGTAAATATGTACATTTGAAGTTTTTTTAAGCAACTTTGCAAGTCTAAATGGTCTGTAAACAAAATACATTCTTCTCGTTTATTTAAATTAAATATAATACAACAAAAGTATAATAAAAAAATATTAGTACATATATTTAAGTAAATCATTGTGCGCTGGGAACAAAGTATGTTTTGCAATGAAAGATGTGTTCTCATCCCATCAAAGCGATTTAAGTACGATCATTTGATTAATAAATCGAGCAAAAATAAATTATATTTTTCGTTAATTTATTAACAGATGTATTTTTTTAATACCAATTCAAATAAGTTAAATTTCTCGAAAGATTTCCGCCAAGGGTTAGTTGAGGAAAGATACAAATAAAATTAGAGATCAACTGACGAAATTAGAGAGCTAACGACATTCAAATAAAGTTATCACTTCCAGTCATACTCCTAAATCAACAATTATCAGACTCGCTATACCCGGATACCGGATTTCAAATTATTTTAGGAAAATAAGTTAAAAACTAAAAAAGCCGTTATTTCTCCATTACAAGTTACATAATGAAATTCAACTCATCACAACTTGCAGAGACAGAAGAGCAGTGGTATAAATGCACCAATCGCTATGAATACGGGCAGCATAACTGATGAGTCGTCTATGGAGTATGGATCCGGCTGTTTTGGTCCGCTAACTTTTCGTTTTCTTGTCACCATCTCCTCTTCATTATCTTCATCTTCATCAAATACTTCATTATCTATTGTTGCAGCAGCTAAATTTTTGCTACGTTGTTGGTGTTCTTGTATTTGTTCTGCTAATTCGTCACCAATGTCGTCATCAATATGATCTTGGAACAGACCCATATCAGCACCAATTTTGGTATCTTTTGGATGTAAAGGTGGTAATCGCGGTATATTTGCCACATCTCCTTTAAGCAATGCGAAGGCATTGATTTTAGGATTATCAAAATCACTTTTTCTGAACTCTAAACGTACAACGCCATTATGTATATCCGATTGTTCGTTTTTGTAGTAGAGTCGGTTATTGGAGACTATAAAGAAAACATATTCTTCATGCGCTACACCATGGCCGACTTTGCGATAGATGTCTAGATCCTTAACCACGGTATGTTGGTTCAGAAGCACACTAAAGATCTGAAAATAATATATATAAATTTAATGAAGTAAAAATCATGAGCTTAAGGTAAAATTAAATTTAAAATACTGTACGCCTATTTTCAAAAGCGATTCAAATCGACCAAGCTTTTACACATATTTATATACATATTTTAATGATTAACCACGAAGAATGTCATTATTATAATAATACATATAGAAAATTTTAATCTTTACACAACTATATACATATATTAATCACACATTTTAAGTCAGAAAACCAGAAAAGTAACCACAAGGTATAAATATTCATATAAAATTTACCAAATACTGACGTGTACCCTTACTTTGGATTTACAATCAAATTGCTTAGCTCTAATTCTTATGTACGTATAATTAGCTTATACGCCCACTATTATTCAAGGAAATATTATCCCCTATTGAAATTAAAATTCCATCCTTACCTTTTTATTAGCTTCCGTAAAGTAAACTTCACAAAATTTTAATATAAGTGCATATTCGCCATCGCCGTCTAGCGGCAAGGTATATTCAAAGTGGCCTGTGTGATAACGCTCCGTTTTAAAGAGCACTTCATCTTGTTCTGGTACCCGTTCGATAAGTACTAAGTTATTACCATAATCCGATGCTGTGCCAATACTATGTAATGGATCGGCACTATAATGAATACCATTTTTGTCAGTATGTTCCTCGCCTCCAGCGTTTACTGCATAGATGACCTTGAGGTTACCATATACTATGCCAGGACAAAAACAGATCAACAACATAAATAATCGCCAAAACGAAAATGTTCTTGTAAATGTAACGTTGAACCACATTTTGCTCACTGTACACTATAAATAAGTCTCCCAGCTCGATTTGGGGCAACGGCCGGTATAATTTTGTTTTCCGTTGGACTTTATAGTTACTACTGCCGATTACTACTCAAACGGTTACACCATATTTTTTCGTAACTTTCTAATATAACTCCATAGAGTTTTCTGTGAAGAATGCACCGAAAGCAATATAATTTATTTATAATGTTTTCTGACACAAAAATTATGTGTAATTTTTTATCAAAGAAAAAAATCAATGTTCCATTCAGTGAACAGCTGATTGAATATTAGAGGTGACTGCTTCACGCTAAAAGATAATCGAAATGAGGTTATCGATTGATTTGTGCAATTAAAAAATTAACCAAGTTTACTTCCTTTCAGCAATGCCATTTTTGAAATACTTCTTCTACATTGCCTAGAACGCGAACAATCGAAAATATTTATTTAAATCTTTTATATACATAGATAACAATTAAAGGTTGTAACCATACGCAGTTTTTACTTATATATTATCATTGTTGCAAAAACATTAAACACCAAAACTGTTTTTGCAAAATAAATATTTGTTAAGATATAACAACGATAACTTTTGACAGTTTTGCTGCCACTGTATATGAAACACATCACTTGAAGTTTCTCCTAAAATTTGACAGAAACAACACGTGCGGCAAACAGTAGTATCAGTGGTTTCGTTTATTAAATTAAAATATAAATTAAAGTGAAAATATATTGCAAACTGGCTGGCAAAATAGGTTTTAAACTTCTTTAGTGTTAAGGCAATGGTTTGCAGACAACAAGTTGTGCCAGAAAATAACACACCAGCACAACGTTGTAATACAAACAAGCAAGACACGACTCCTATGTTCATTGATAACTTCATTGCAAAGACTAGATACATTCATACTGACCTTTCAGAATTTGGAAATATTTCTAATATGGACTTCGAAGAACTTGATAAGCTTAAATTACAATACTTGGCCGGTGCGAATCTTGTTGAGCATACACCACTGTATGCGCCTGGTGGAGAGTGAGTTAAAATATTTGTAGTGGTATTAATAAACATTTTTAATTTCTGTACTTTTTTACTTACAGATTTCTATTTATTCGCTGCAAAAATGTTATATACGTATATTCTACGGTAACTGGAGAGCTAGCACGTAAACTTACCGGTGCTAGTGCTAATATTGTGTCAATGGAGTTAGAATTACATGATAATGAAACACTTGTTGCGTGTTCGTCCAATGGCGAGGTTTTTCGTTGGATTTGGCGTTTTGGACGTCAACAACAAAAACTTGAATTGAATTTGCACAAAGCCCAAGAAATTCTTACTTTTAATCTAATTAATTTATACGCCAATTCCAATACAGCTTGTGCATTTGTAACTGCGGGAAACGAACAGCAAGTCCAATGGTTTGTGGTAGACACAAGTACGGGTGAACGTTTAAATGTGCCATGCAAATTAGAGCTGCTGTAAGATAAACATATAAAAGTGTATATTAATATATAAAAATCTATATAAGTGATATTTTACTTGTTGCAGTCCCACTAAACCTCTTGTTTCGGCAGATTCAAAAAATTTCAAGCATATCGCAATAGTGCAAGGTTACTATGTATATTTTCTAAATTACAAGACATGGGCTTGGAAAAGGTGAGTTTTATGCTACTAAATTTTGACATTGTTTTATTTATACCAATTATTTTTTCATTACAGGCTATTTAACGCACGCCGAATTCCTATTACTGTTGTACGTTGCCATCCACTTGAAGAAGCGATTATTACTGGTGATGAAATTGGTCAAATTTTTTTATGGCGTGAGTTTATGAGCCAAAGCACAGTGAAAACGGTGAGTAATTACTGAAGAGTAAGGAGTGGCCGGTAATGAGTTATAAATAATAACTTTCAGACACTCTACCATTGGCACCATACCGCTGTTACAAGTATAGCGTTCACACCAAGCGGCACCGGTTTCTATAGCAGTGGCCATGAGTCGGTGCTAGTCTATTGGAATATTCAGCAACCCGATTTACGTAATTTCCTGCCACGAATGGGCTCTGTAATTTGCCAATTAGCAGCTAATGATGACAATACCCAAATTGCTGTTTGCACGGCAGATAATGGGGTCCATTTTGTTGGTAGTGATAATGAAATCGTTAGCACTCTGCAGGAATTCACTTATATGGAAAAAGACAAAACGGGTAATAACAAGTTTCCTGTCGGATTGCGTTTAAATCCTCGTACTAATACTATTGTGTTGAATGGCAAACATGGTCATTTACAATTTTATTCTGTATACACCAAGAATATGCTGTACAATGTAAGTGCTACATTAAAAGACTTCAATCGGTTTTTCGTTAGTTAAACTCAAATATACACAAATATTTCAGATGGATATTGTCATGCAAAATCAACTCTCTATGGAGAGTGCCAAAGTTCTCTATAACATCATGGTGACCAAAGCAGCATTTAATATCGATTGGATGGCAACTGGCGAAGTGTTCAATGATTATGAACATTTGCCCGAATTACGCTTAAAATTCTGGAAATACGATGAGGCTGCTAAGACGTTAGTATAATTAAATACTAAATGAATTGTATAGCGTTTACACCTGTTTCTTATTTTTTTTTTGCAATTTGTAGATACTCACTCAATACAAATGTTGAGCTGCCACATGAAGGCGGATTTAAAGCCATCGAATTTTCTACACCAAATCAAGTGGATAATTTGCTATGTGCTACGGTTGGCGAAGATAATATCATAAAAATGTGGTCGCTTGAGGAATCCGATAGCATTTATAAGAAAGGCAAAGCTTGGTACTGCATAGCGAAAACTTCCTATCGTGGCTTACCTGTGGAATCTATATCATTTTCGCAAGATGGCTCTGTACTAGCGGCAGGATACGGCAATACGCTTTGCATATATAGAGCTGAAAATTTGAAACTAAAAGCAGCGCTTACCCCACCACCAGGTTTTGACGGTGTTGTACCTACAATACAAGTGAGCTTGCGACAGAAAGGCGTAGAATCTCAGCTGAAAGACGATTTCACACCAGAAAGACGAAAAAGATGGTTGCAACTCTTGAACGATTTCATTGGAAAAAATGATGAGACGCTAATCAAAGAACTGGAGAAGTTTGCAGAAAAATGCGAAAAAATCGATTTCAAACCCAAGGAGGTATCGGCTGAGGATATTGATGAAGAGACAAGAAAAAAATTATATAATAAAATAATGGATATGCATCAGCTAAACTTTTTCCACAAAGTTTTGCTATTTCAACGCTTGGGAATAAGAGTAAATGTGCATCCTGAAGGCAAGGAACGTTTACTCTCCTATTTATATGATACCATAATTCCCGAAGGTCAGCGCAATCGTTTGCTTGAAATGGAAAACGAAGTAAAACACATTAGTACACGTTATCGTTACAAAGCGAAATGGCGCTTGCACGAATATGAAAAGAGATTAAAGCGATATGAAGCGCAAGTGCAAGAAAAACTGTTGCCACTAATGGAGGCGCTCGATTTTGGTGATGCGTCTTCAACGCCCCTTACAAACGGCAATTCTGCGCATAAGAGTGGAGCATCTATTACGCCGGAAAAAGCAGAAAAGTCAATTGAGCAATTGGAGGATAACGAAGAGCCACTTGAGGAAATAACTTTGTCTGATCCAGTAATGGCGCAGATTAAAAAGGTGCAATTCGCAGCTGGAGAATGGGCGCATTTGGTAAATTTAGTTAAAGCATATATACGTATAAGGAAATGTATTACGGACTTTCTATTTTGCTTACCAGGTGATTGTGTGTACGGAGAGGCGTGTTTTAATATATAATTTGCTCACATTGCGTTTACATGCTGCATGCAAGCTGTCCGTCGAGCATATGGCCTTCGATCCAATAAGCAATTTAGTCGCTGCCTTTACCAAGTATAATGAATGTGAGTAGCAAGGAAGATCTTGCATGTAATGTTACATCAAAAAAAAATTTTATGTCTACAATATATTTTCTTTATTTAGTATATGTATTCCAACCGAATGTACCGTTACCCATATATCAACGTCGCAATTTACCACGGCTGTATGACGCGGTTTGGCTACCGCGACGTCATCCCAAAAACCGCTCTATCAATGTTGACTGGCAGGCACAGTCGACTTTATACTTTTTAACAGAAGATCAGGTAAATTAATTGCACATATTTATTTAACAAAAAAAAAAATCTTGCAAAAAATGCAAAAATATTTTTAAATATTCAAGGAAATCTACTACTTGGGTATACCGGATAGTGTGGACGATGATGCGCCACCACCAATTACATTTACGAATCCAGTTAAACAAGCAATGCAATACAGTACATTTGGCACTTTTGCTACGCAACAACACTCTGATATGCAGAGCAGCACTAGACAATCGATCGGACCATTAGTTGTGGGCAATTCGAGTAAAACGGCTGTGAAATCGGTGAGTTTGGTTCTTTATATTTTGTTGCCCATATACATTTACTCATGCATAGTTACTTATACACTTAAAAGCAAAACAATTAAAAGCAGAAAAAAGCCTTTTTTTACTACCAAAACTCCTTAATTCTTTGTCATAACGACAACGGTTATATTTTCGTTCTTACTTTATTTCTAGAAGACATAATGTTTCATTTTATGTTTAAATAATCACGAATATCAAAGTTAAAATTTCTAGCTTCTACTTTTTGGTCTTAATCGGCCTCGGATGGTTTTTTAAGATTTTGTTTTAGTACAGTTATATCAGAGAGTATATCCAACGATACTGGCTGGCATGCCTTTGGAGATGCTCATAAAGACAATAAAACGAATTGTTTTGACCGTTTTTCCTCAAATATTACTTCTTTCATTTGTATCCGACTATAACTTGTTATACTTTGTAATAATTCAGTCAGTAAAAATGATCCATAATAAGTTTTGGTGAAACAAATTACTCCTAATACTTAATTATAATATTATACATATATAATTTATCCTTAATCTTAAACATTATAAAACAAACTTCTCCTCCGCATCTGTCTGTATGTTCGCGTTGAATTCAAAAACTGCTAAATGGATTTTCATGCGGTTTTCAGCAATATATAGATTGATTCTTTACGAGGGATCATATAAATATTTAAGTCTTAATGTTGTTGTAACCGCAAAAATATTCCCCAAAGTACTTTTGGGGAATATTGCGGGAGTGACAGTCGTTGGTCGGATAAAAATCCGGGTCGTTCCGGCTGTCGCGGGATCTATTGGATTTTAGTCGTCTCTTACGACAGGCATACCTTAACGTGGGCAAATTCTCTAACCCGTAGGATTATTTTTTTCATTCATTTTTTTGTTGTCTTTTTTGTCGTACTTTTTTGTACTCTTTTATTGCATTTTTTGTCGTTTTTTTTTTTGAATTTTTTCGTATTTTTATTGCGATTTTTGTTGTATTTTTTCTTGGTTGTCTTTTTTGGTTGTATTTTTTTATTTTATTTTATTTGATTTTATTTAATTTTTTTATTTTATTTTTTTCATTTTATTTTTTTTATTTAATTTTGTTTTTGTTGCACTTTTAATTTTTTTCTTTTTTTTTTGTTGTATCTTTTTGTGGCATTTTTTGGTGTATTTTTGTTTTTAGTTGTATTTTCCGTAATTAATCTTTTTATACGTGAAAGTTATCGTAAAATCGAAATGCATCAAATGCGTGCTACAAAGGGTCATCTTTTCGTTGTTAAAAGAGGGGCTAGATCGCACTGGATCTATTGTAAATCAACATTATCTTCTTTTCATTTGCTTCTTCCTCATAGTCGAACAGACAACAGTACACCATTTCGTCCTTCTTTTCGCCCTTTGGTGTCAAGTGTGACCAGATCTTTTTCAATGTGATATTTTCTTAATTATGACTTTATTCGAAGGTAATAAAATGTGGGAAGACAATGAGCAGAGCGTATGCAAGCTACATTCCATAATTCCATGATTCGGTTTCCTTAAATGTTCCTATGTTTTTTGTCGAAATGAATATGTAAAGTACTTTTCTTACACGAAAGTGGATCAGAGATGAGATTTCATAGGTTCAATTTCCTTAAAATTTAGATTAGACGGATTTCTGCCTAAGTTAACATTACCGAAAATGGTTTTTTTCATTCATATTTACCACGGTCGCAGGTTGCCTTGGGTTTGACGGCACTGTGAAGATATGGTTATAGTGTAAGTGTAGATTAGAGTAGTGTCGTTCGGTTTTGACGGGTTAGGCCCAAAAAAAAAGATGGATGTTAGATGTACCAGTTTAGGGGACATGGAAAGAGGTAGTTAGTATCTTGCGAAGCCTTTTTGTATGTTGGACATACGTTGCGTGACTCGGGTCTAACACAGAATTCATACCTTAGTTGGGCCAGAATTACTCGGGTCTGTCCTGGCAGCTGTAACTTCATCTGAAATGCCATGAGTATGTTTCAAACTTTCAGAGGGATTTGCAACCAACAGATACTGCAAGCTTTCCTCTAGAGCAACCAAGCTCTGGGCCACAGTCAAATCATTGTCAAACCCGACGAAACGTTATGACCGGTAGGATATTTCATTTGGTGACCGCTCCTCTTCAGACCCGAAGAAGTGCACGAGTTATTTTCGCCGAATTTTTACACTGGCACCTTCAGTTGACAAAATGACACGTAACCGCCGTCTGCGAAAACTGCCGAACAGCAGCACGACACTTTATTTCTCCAGGGAAGAGGTTCAGGAGTGCATGGCCTCCAGATCTATCGACCCTGATAGATTAAGCATACTGATGCTAAAACATCTAGGACCATCGGGACTTCCTCACCAGGATCCTCGACTTACCTTTGGCCACCCTAATTATACCCGATGCATGGAAAATGGGTAGGGTGGTCCCACTACTCAAACCGGGGAAATACGCCAACAAAGGAGAGTACTATCGGTCCCAATCAACGTTGCTATCGTTCATTGAGGAAACTTCATTGTTCCCTGCTCCACCAGAAGGGGTTTCCCTGATCTCTGATGCCGATGATTGCTCAATATTGGCGTCTGACTGGGATAGTGATGACTCATGTATAAAAATGCATTGCTATCTTGGAGACCTTTCCTACTTCTTCACTGCAAGATAATTGAAAATACAACCTAAAAATCCTCGACTACTGTATTCACCAGTTTATAGTTACTGGATATTGTAGCAGGTTAAATTCCTCCTTATTCAGACTCAACCCCAACATACCCAACGTATGCCCTGCATGTGGAGAGTCTCTGCACGAGACTAACCATCTCTTCCTCTGGTACGATCCCGTGGAAACAGCACGTTTCCTGGACCTCCCGTTAGATGACCTCGGTGACTTAGATAATCAATCTGTCGCTAAGCGAGATTAACTAAGTCGCTACAACAACAACAACGACTGCTATTGCCGCAAAACTCCAGAGCCGCAACAAAAGTCTAGCCGTCAGCAGCTGGGGAAAAGATAATAAAAGCTTTGCTGGCGACGTGCAAAGCAATTAGCCGGCCGGTCGTAACCTACGCTGCGACGAACTGGACATCGGTGACAAATGAGACGCAGTTGAGGAGGTTACAGACTTGCCGAAACAGCACCCTCAGGACCCTGACCAGATATCTTCTGATGTCGCCTCAGCAAGCAATTTCTGCTGGGATGCTACCGAAGGGGCTTGGTAAGTATCTACAAGAACAACAACAACATGTAAAGAGTATCATGTAAAGGCTTATTGCATGCGGAGCATAAATATTTTAGCCGCATGAGTCGAGTTCGAGTTCGTAATTTTTGGAGTAGTGAATTCAATGATCAAAGAGTGCACAACAATTCGTTCCTGAAAAGCTCGAAAATATTTGAACAAAATCAGCATTTCTTACCGCTTAATTTATTTATATTTTTTTTTAATATAGAAAAAACGCCAAAATTATATGTATATATGTATATATTTTTAACTTTATTGAAACATAAAAATACAAAACATTAGCATAAAAAAGTACAAACCACATATGCATACATATGTATGAGTATGTGTATGTATGTATGAAGTACATTTGGCTTAGCTTATTTTTTAATATTAAATTTTTATAATTTCTTATTTTAATGCTATTGAAAATTTCAGAAAATTCTTTTCCGTTATTTTGCAAATACCAAAAAAAAAACAATTATTTTATTATAAAAAATTTCCGGGAGCACATTCCATGCTATGTATGTACACGTATGTATGTATGTATATTCATCGAGTAGATGCACTTCCCTTGAGACCTACAAAAAACATTTCCTTACTTGCGAGTAAATATATATTGATGGCTTTGGAATGCGTACATTTTACAAGTATTAAAATGAGATTTGAGTAAAAATTTAATAGAAAGAAAAAAATATATATTTTCCGACATTTCCGTATTTATTTATTTCCTTGTTCTTTTTTATTTTTTAATTTTTTTATTTTTATTTATTTTTTAATTTTTTTTATTTTTATTTATTTTTTTATATTTTTTATATTTTTTTTTATTTTTTTATTACCCTATAAAAATTACGCTCACATTATGTGTGTGATTATCAGTCAGTGGGTGCATATTGCCATGCGACTATGTACCTAAATATTATATGTATACACGTACGTATGTGTGTATGTATTTACATAACCAAATCACTTTATTTTCAATTTTTTATTTTTATTTTTTTTTGTTTGCTTATTACCGCTACTGATTTTGCCGTTGCAATAATCTCATATGACTCCGTTTTGATTTATACATATATACATATGTATGTATCCTCCTCCTATCCCATTTAACTCATCTACATACATATGTATATAGTTGATTAGTCCACAACAGAACCATACAAATGTGTTGGAGGCCATGGCCTTCCAGGCATTAAAACTCATTTGACATTACCGGAACGTGGCGCCGTGGGTACATGCAAATGCCGGCATCGGCGCATCATCAACAAATCGTGTTTGAAGTAGCGCAAACAATGCCATTGTGGTATCTTTGAAAGTTGTTGCTGTAATAAAGAAATAAAAAAATGTATTTTAACTCAATTGTATTATATGTAATTATGTATGCATATATACTTTTATGTATATATATATATATATATATATATATATATATATGTATATATATGTATGCAATTCTATGTACGTGTGGGTGTAGATATTTTTGCATTTCTATTTTGCTACGCATATTCTAAACAAGTTGTACAGCATGCGAGTGTGCATACGAGGGTAGCTCAAAAAGTTCATTAAATAAGAATAAGTGAAATTAAAAAATATATATTACTTCAATTTGCAATGGGATCTTTAATCTGAATATTTTTATAATATTGATTAAATTTTCCTTGAAAATTTTGAAAAACATTTTCTAGTCGTTCGCTTAAAACTGTGAAAAAAACGATGTTTACGTCATATTATCGAACAAAAAGTGTTTGATTTTCCTACGGAAGACCAGATATAAGCTGTAGGAGAGACATATGAACTACTGATTTAAGGCCAAGCTTTTACAAATAAGCTTCTTCACGTTTCTTTTTCTTATTAACTATTTTCAGTTTTTTTAATATTTCCTTTTGAAATCAGAATTTATCGTAATCTTTCTGTGGGAAATTTGATACTGTTTACTATTAGCAATTTTTTTTGGAGGTTGTGCGCACTTTTTATGTCATTTCATAGACTCGTCAAATACTGAATCCATTTTTCAGTTTCCGTTTTGTGCTGGTCGAAAATATGTGCCAGTTCATCTCTACACAATACAAAAATTATATCATATGGAGCACGGACCTTTAGACATACCCTCATATGCACACTTGTACGCGTATAGAGATATGTACTAGATTAATGTAGTCATATGCACACACATAACGGCTACATATTTATTGTATTTATTTAAACAACCATCCATTTACGTGATTCACGTCATGTGATAGGCCTCTTTTTTATCGTTGGAAATTGACCAATGGATCAATTAAATATGCGTGTGTCGTCACTACATACACTATTTATATATGTAAATGGTTAAATAAGAGTGTTTTATGTCATTAAATTGTTGACCCTTCTGATATTTTTTTTTCCTCTTCTACAATTGGAGAAATATATTTATTTTGTTGTTGTTTGTATATTACTTGTTCATTTCATTTCCATTTTATCTAATTTTTTGTAAAATAAATTTTAATTAATATTTTTGTTAATTTAATTTCATTTTTTATATTTTAATTAAATATGTTAATATTTTGTTTTTAATATTTTTTATTGAATATTTTTTTTATTTATTTTTTATTAAAATTTTTTTATTTATTTCTTATTTTTAAATTTTGTTTTAATTAATTTATACTGTTTTCTATTCATTTTTTTGTATTTCATACCATTTTATTTTACTGTATTAATTTATTTTTTTTTATTTTTTAATTAAATTAATTATATTGTACTTTTATTATTTTTTTTTTGTATTTCATATCATTTTATTTTGCTGTATTAATTTATTTATATTTCATTTCTTTATTTTATTTTATTTTTTTATATAAAATTATTTTGTTTTATTATGTTAATTTATATATTTTTTAAATTTTATTTTAATTTAAATATTTCTTATTTTTGTTTATTTATTTGGCATTTTATTTTACTAAGTTTTATTTAATTCCTTTCTATTTAATACATTTTTTTTGTTTTCTTTATTACCTTATGTTTTTTATTTTTCATTTTTATTCAATTCACATTTTTTATTTCATTTTGTTTTAATCAATTTTATAAATTTAATTTAATAGTTGTTGGTTAATAATGAATTGAATAATACAACAACAATATGGCTAATGTTGGCCATCCCTGCCATAAGAAGTATGCTTAGGAGATGGATTTTTTGCTTGTATAACAAAAATATTCAATTCATATTATACAAACAAACCAGGCCTTTAGTTTACTTAATACATTTAACAAGAAATTAATTTATATGTATATGATAGTATGGCCGCAAAAAACAATTATAAGTTTTAATATTTTCATTTATTTTAATTTAATTTATTTTATTTCATTTAATTTCGTTTTATGATTTATTTAATTTATTAATTTTTTCAAAACAAATATTTTGTTTTGTTTGTTTAATTTATTAATTTTTTATTTTATTTATTTATTTATTTTATTTATTTATTTAATTTAATATAATTTTAATTTTATTTCATTTTATTTAAATCCTCTTTATAATTTTAATTAAAATTTTTTTCTCAATTTTATTTTATGTTATTTATTTAATTTTATCTATTTTTTTGATGGTTTATGTAATTTTTGTAACTAATATATTATTTTTTTTCAATTAAATTTTTTATTACTTTATTTTATTTTAATTATTAGCTTAGTGTTTAATGTAATTTTTTGTTTTGTTGTATTAATTCATATTTCTTATTTATTTTAATTAATATTATTTTAATTAATTTATAGTTTTTTTTCTTTCAATTTTTGTGGTATTTTTGTTTTATATATTTGTATTTAATTAGAATTTTTATTTTATTTTTAAATTTTTTTCGTTTTGCATTATTTTGTTTTTATTTTGCTGTACTTGGTTGTCTTAATTTTGCATTTATTTTTTTTTTGTTTATTTTGATTTTCTTTTATTTTTTTCTTTGTTTTCTTTTTTGTAATTTTTTTGTTTTTAATACCTTCTGCTTTATTATATTTCATTTAAATTTATTTCACTTTTTTATTTTGCTTTTTAATTTTAGTTTATTTTATTATTTTAAATTCAAACCATTTTTTAAATACTTTATGTAATTAATTTATTTTATTTATTAGTTTTAGTTTACTCAAAAGTTTTATTTTGTTATATTTTAATTTTTATTTAAGTTTTTACTTTAATTAATTTTTTTATTTCTTAGATCTATATTTAATTTTTTTTATTGTATTTAAAGTTTTGAAATTTAATTTAATTTTATAAATATTTATTTATTTGTTTATTCTACTTTGTTTTATTTATTTATTTTGTCATGTTTTTATACCTGATATTTTATCATACTTCATTTTAATTTTTTTAATTTTTTTTTTTTAATTTTTCAATTTTATTTAATTACATATTTAATTTATTTTATTTTATTCTCCTTAAATTCAATTTTGTTTTAAATTTGTTTATTTAATACAATTTAATTATTTTATATTAAATAAAATATTTTTTTTTTATTATTCATTTTTTTGGTCGTAATTATTATTATTACAAGTTTTATTTTTTTTTGACGTAGTATTTATTTATAAATATATGGTAACCGACCGTTGAGACGGGCATGAGCACAAGCGGAATTAAGTAAATTGGGTTTTTGTGAAATCAATTTGGGTATATAAATCGCTGTGATACTTTTTCATACTTTATTGCCTAGAAGCTACTACCTACATACGTATGTACATACATAAATAAATCTATTCAAGTCGCTCTCACTTGTTTACAACGCTTATTGCGCAATCTCTGGACGCCTATGAAATGAATTTTTATTGTTGTAACTATTTTTAGTGACAAACAAAATAAAGTCACGCTGTGCAAGAATTAATATTTGAGAATATTATTATTACAAATAACTCTAAATTTATTTGTTTTTTTCATCATTTTTCAAGTGTAATGAAACTACTATACGATGAAAATTTAATTTATGTATGTGTGTGCATAAATATACCTTGTTCATCAATTTCATTAAAGCTAATTTTATTATCATTTGTGTGTTGTTGCGATTCCCTTTAATACAGCTCATCTCTCAAAAATGTTTTCGGTAAATTATTTATAGTTGATACTTATTGGTGAAGGTCATGCAAATTCGAAATTTCTGCTATTCGAGTTGATAACATTTTTAATTATTTATAATATTATTATTTTTTTTTAATTTATATAAATTTTTTATATTAACAAAAAGAGTTTGGAAATTTTTTAGACATTTATTTAGATGTGTGCGCACACATGTCGTGCGCTTTGATTTTGATATAGAAGCACACGTGTACTTTACAGTTAATGATTACAATTTTGTAAGCACAAATTATTTTTGAATAATGTCAGAAGATGTTAATATAATTTTGTTTTTGTCGACAATTTTTCTTGGTTCAAAAATATGCTTATATTCAGCTTAAATATTTTCATGTTTCTGAACACATATTTTTTTGATTTTCTGTAGCTTTTAATAATCAATCTTCAGTTATACTTTTTTATGTGTTTTATTTTATTTATACAGAGTTATGAGGTTTCGAAATTTAATACAAATCAAATGCAATTAAAATATTTTATTTATTTTTTTTCATGAAAGTCTTTTTTTTATAAAACCTGAACCTTGGCGTCGGTTTTCATATGATCATAACACACCGGATTGACAGTGAAAGTTTCACCGTTGTTGTTTTCATAGAAATAAGGCCCAATCAGACATCAGATTCAAAGAGCACAGCAAACAGTAACCTTTTTTTTTTTTGGTGTAATGGTCTCTCTTCAGTTGCTTGATGATTCTCGGAGCCCCGAATGTGGGTCTTTGGCTACTTTTTAACTTACGGTTAACTTACGGAACGAAACGATTGCACACAGTTCTTATAATATCTGTAACCGATCCTGTCTTTTCAAAACTCATTAAAATTCTACCAATTGCTTGTGTACTTGGACGATGACGTCCATCATAATCTCCATTTATAGAACGAAACGTGTTCATATTTGAATCACTATTTTTGTTGTACATTTTAATAGTTTTAACGCGTTGTCCGGTTGTTAGCCGAACTATTTTGAAAAATGTCTGACTTTTAGCTAAAACAACAGTTTGACAGTTAAGTTTGGCAAATGCCTAAATACAGCCCTGTACTTTTGAAATTATGAAATAGATAAATCTATTTAATTAATTAATTTAATGTGTTCTGATAGATTTTTAAATTTTTTTATTTTAATTTATTTCTTTTTATTTATATATCCATAATTAATTTTTTCTTAATTTATTTTTATTCTATTTAATCATTGAATTTAATTTAATTGGATTTATCTGTTGAATGTTAACTAAATTAATTTTTTCTTAATAAATACAATTATTATATTTATTTTTTTTTTTGTTTTGGTCTTACTTCTTTTATAAATACATTTTATTCTATTTTATATATTTTTTATTTAATTTTTTTTTTTTTACTTTTCCATATTCGATTTAATTTTTATTTTATTTCATTATTTTAATTTTTAATATTTTTAATTATGTTTAATATTTTTGCTTCTTTATTTTGATTTAATTGTGTTTTATTATTTTATATATTTTTATTATTGATAAATATTTTTTTTCTGCTTTTTAGCATTATTTTATTTATTTAATTATTTTTTTTATTATATTTTTTTTTCTTTGTTTTAATTTAACTTAATAAATTTTTGATTTATTATATTTTGTTTTATATGATATTATTATTTATTTTATTTCATTAATGTAATTTGTAATTTTTTTAATATTTCTGTTTGTTTTTATTTTACTTCTTTGATAAATATATTTTTATTCTAGTTTATTTGTATTTTATTCAATTGTTTGTATTTATTTATTTTTTTACTTTTCCATATTTTTCGATTTCATATTTATTTTATTTCATTAATTAAATTTGTATTATTTTTTACCTTTTTTAATATTTTTATTTATTTTGATTTTATTTTTGTTTTATTATATTTCCGTTTACATTTTTTTATATATTTTTTAAATATATTTTTATAGTTTTGTTCTATTTAATATAATACTTAATTCGATTGTATTTACTTAATTTTTTCTTTCATCTTTTTATATTAATTAATTTAATAGTTTATTTTATTTATTTGTTTAATATAATATATAATTTATTTGTTTTGATTTTGTTTCAATTATTTTTATGGTTGTATTCTATTTGACATATAATTTATTTGTTTTTTTTTTTTAATATTAATTTATTTATTTAATTAATTTTTTTTTTATTATTTATTTATTCTTTTTTGTTTTAATTTAATTTATTTCAAATAATTTTTGATTTATAATATTTTGTTTTATATCAATCTATTAATTATTTTATTTCACTAATTTCAGTTATACTATTTTTTATTATTTTTTAATATAATATATTTTGATTTTTGTTTTTATTTTACTTCTTTGTTAAATATATTTTTATTCTAGTTTATTTGTATTTTATTTAATTTGTTTGTATTTATTTATTTTTTTTTTTAATTTTCCATATTTTTCGATTTAATGTTAATTTTTTTTAATTATGTAATTTTTATTATTTTTTATTATATTTAATATTATTGTTTTTTTTTTTTTTGATTGATTGTTTTTGTTTTATTATATTTCGGTTTACATTATTTTATTCTTTAATTTAATATATTTTATGAAGTTTTATGGTTTTATTTTATTCAATCTATAATTTTAACTGAATTTGTTTGTTTTTATTTAATTTTTTCTTCCACCTTTTTATATTAATCAACGTAATTTTTTTTTTATTATATTTATGTATTTTGAATTTATTTCAATTATTTTTATGGTTATATTCTATTTGATAAATTATTGTTAATGTTTAATGTTATTTTATTTTTTTTTTCTACATTTTAGTATTACTTTATTTATTTAGTTGATATTTTTACTATATTTATTTGTTTCTTTTTGTTTTAATTTAATTTTCTTTAGTATTGGTTTATTATATTTTGTTTTATATCATATTATTATTTATTTATTAATTTAAAAATTATTATATTACCATCTGCGATTTTATCAAAAAAGCTGCTTATTTCTTAAATTTTTTCATACACTATTTAAGTTGTTACTATTTTCAGTGATGATATCAGTTCCTGTATATTTTTGTTTTAGTTATTGTTTTATTTTTTGTTACTCCAAACGAAATCCTTACCTCATCCACTTTTGGCAACGGTCCACAATAGCTGGCTGGCATCAGCGCATGCAAAGTCAGTACAATAATAACAAATATGCGGAAAAATCTGACCAACATTTTGTTAGTTTATTATATATTTATATAATATGTATGTATATTTTAGTATGATTCTATGTTTTCTTCTCGTTTTTTTTTTCTTGAAAATAGTACTCGAAAGCTGGAGCTGTAATTTTTCCACTTGGTTTTTTTAATGTTTTGTTTTTTGCACAATTTAATTAATTTATTTGCGGCTCCACACCGTTCGCCATATTTACTATTTTTTTCTAATTATTTATTTGTATTTTTATTTATTTATTTATATTTTTAATTATTTATTTGTATTTTTATTTATATTTTTTATTTTAATTTTATTTATTTATTTATATTATTATTTATTTAGTTAACTTGATTTATTACTTTGTAATTGTCGCACATGAAAATTTGTGCCGACTTTTTAGGTCTTGTGTGTGTTCTAACGAGCGCGAATGACAATTTGAAATTATCGGACGTCGCACTGCATTCGCTCCAATTTATATGCGAGAACCGATGTTCGCATTGTTTACCCGACGACAGCGAAACGACTGCGGCGGTGATAACTGCCACAGTCGACCACTCCACACTTTAGGCTGTTCTATTCTACCATGGACTGCTGCAGCATGACATAGTGTGTGTGGACGTGCGTTGGAGGGGAGGATGGTGCTGTCAGGCGACAACTGCAGAAAATAATTCTGTGGCACAATGACTGAGCTGAGTTGCACTACTACATTGGACGGTGACGTTCCGCAATACTTTCGTCTAGTCAAAGGATATTGCTTTCCGCGTATTTTTGTTGCTATTTTTCCACCCTTTCTCTCTAACTCTCTCTCTTTCTCTCTCTCTCATTGTTTATCTGGTAAAATTCTTACTTCGCTACAATTTTTTTCACTGTTTACAACCATTTCGCTTGCACATTTTTTCACTTTTTATACCCATTCGTACGGTGCGCAGAGGATATATTAGGTTTGTTCATCTGAAAGTTGTATCGTTACATATGTATAAATAATTGTTTTATATATAAATATGTTGGTATGCGTTGACTAAGCCATGCCTGAATATCCTTTCATCCATTCAGGCGACTAAGATGGCTTATCGGCTGAGCTATTCAAATATGTCGGCGAAGAACTGTCACGCATCCACTTCGGATCAGCTTGTGGCGAAGATTCGTGAAAACTATGACGGAATTTGGTAACCTCGCAAAACTTCTACGGCTGTGTAAACAGGCGCTGAGCAACACAAAAACGGCTTCATCAGATTCGGCAGAGACCTGTCTACGCCGTTCGTCCAAACTAGGTTACAGGCAGGATGGTTATATCGTATGACTTCGTACTGGAGAAAATAATAAGAATTGCTTGCCTAAACAGAGAAAGTACCAGCTTTATAAAAGCCTACAAGGGTCCTAACATCCGAATCGTTAGTTCCGTTTTGTACAGACTCCAATCAAAAAATAAACAGTCAGAGCACAGAGCGTATTGGCTCCCAAAGCACTGTTGGTAGTCATAACTTTGAAATCGTAGGTAACTTTGACTATCTAGGAACCAGCTTTAGTACAATAATAATGTCAGAAAATCTCATAAAAAATCAGCTTTGGACTGAGTAGTCAATTGAAAAGTACTGTCTTAGCCAAACTCTACAAGTCGGCTACGCTGGATAGCTCCTATCGTCCGTAAGGACGGACAATTCTTCGATTAAAGCTGAGAAGGAGGACGGCCTCAACTGCAGTTAAAAGATCAGGTGACAAAGTACCCGGCTACACTTGGTGTCTACGAATGGCGAAGTGAAAAAACGGCGTGCTATTACTGACTCGGCTGTAATCCGAAGTGATAGACATCGTCTATCAAAAGATAGAAGAGCAAAATCGTTTAATTCAGGCTACTTCTTCTTCGTACAACCAAAACAGTCCTTACTGCCTGACTCCAACCGAAATTAGCCCCCTCTTAGTAGATTGTTTATATTAGTTTTCATATTGTTTTCTTCACTTGTTTGCTTCAATTTTATCATATTTTTGTTGCATTTTTTATGGTATTGGCTATTTTTCGCCGCCGACAAGTTGTTGGGTCACTCTGTTTATTTACTTTATTACGACATTTCGCCGGCAGCAATGCGATGAGTAAGCGCCGATTCCGATTGGTTTTCCTACTTTTCGTTGAAGGAAAAGCTTTGGCCGCTGCTCCACTGTGTGCTTGTTGAATTAATATCTTATTAAAATGGTCTCTCTTCTGTTCTTGCTGATTTCAAAATTGGCCTTTCAATTAAACACTTTTGCGAGAAAACCTATAAAAAGTAAATAATAAATAATAAGCACTTTAAGTTTTGGAAAGCGTTGGATTTTATGCTTAAATATTCGTCTGACCAGTGCTCAAATCAATGAACCTATGGAGTCTCTCAGAGAGAAGTGTCTTCACATTGCAAACAATAAAACACTGAGGAGAGTTTTGACCAGACCAAAAATTATGTTTCTTTATGTCCCTAGACACTAAAAAGGTTATCGCTGACGAGTTGGCAGGAAAGAAATACAACAAACTCTGTAAACTCAGCCTTTGTCAAAGGATTAAATAACTACATCTATATTCCTTGTGAATAGGTTTCCCAGCACTATTGCAACTGACATTCCCTGATGCTCTTGGTTAGTGTATTTGCTATGTTTCTAATTTTTCTTGTCACTACCATAGGCATTTAGAAGAGCAGAAGTCAATAGAGCCTTACTTTTGTCAACGCGATTAACCTTTAGCGCAGCTTGGCATCGCTGCCAAAGAAGTATTTACTTCGCCCTCATTGTGGAAATATCATCAGAGAGTGTTCCCTAAATGTTTTGAAGATCTAGGAGAAGCTTTTCACGTCCGCAATAGTGGTGTCACAAAGGTCCAGTAGCTCTGAGTGCCCTCATTCACAGAAATGTGTCTAAGCAAGCACACCAAGTTAACTCAACTAACACCTCGTATTACGACAACTACGTAATGGGACTGATTCAATAAAAACCGTATATTTCAAAATTATTCTACAACTCTGCCATCCGCTTCAAAGTAGTCCGCTTGGGCAGCCATTAAACGATTCCTGCGTGTTTTCCATGCTTCGTAACATTTCTGGAACGCTTCGTTTGGGATGTCCACAATTACTCTCATCACGGCCGCCTGAATGTGCTCAATCGACGCAAAATGGGTTCCTTTGACCATCGATTTTTTTTCTAGGGAACAAAAAAAAAGTCACAGGATGACATATTGGGCTACACGGCGTTCCCTTTATAGGCCAAATACCGGGACACGCTGAGGGCAGTGTGGCACTTCGCGCGTTGTCGTGATGAAAGATCCAGTTACGAGCCAAGTCTGGGGACAACCGGTTGATTCGTTGTCGCAATCTTTGGAGTAGTTGGCGATAGTAGACTTGATTTACGATTTGTCCCGGTGGAAGAAATTTTTCGTGAACGATTCAACGGCTGTCAAAAAAGGCAATTTTTCTATTTTCGTGACGAGCACCACGAACACACGTGTACTCAACACGACACAGCAGGCGAACTAAACATGCTAGAGCGATGGCAAATATATGATGAATGCATAAGTTCGTGCCCGATTCCGCTGGATGCCGTTCGAATCGTTTGAGAGTGGCGCTCGTGAAAGAAATATATACATATTATATATCGTTGGAAAGGTGACAGTCCGAACTGTGAATAAAGCATAAAATAACTTCATTTTGATTTGTGTTGCTTAATGAAAAGACGCATGGAAGATGGACAACGAAAAAGATCATATGCGTCATATTATGTTATACGAATTCCGCAAAGGAAAAACAGTAGGCGCTGCAACTAAAGATATTCGCGAAGTTTATTTGGACCGTGCTGCAGCACTGCGCACAGTAAAGAAATGGTTCGCGAAATTTCATTCTGAAGAGTTTAACCTCGAAGATCAACCTCGCAGTGGACGGCCTTCTGAGCTTGATGACGATGTTCTAAGGACTTTAGTTGCGAATAACTCACGTATTTCGACGGAAGAGGTTGCCAGTGAATTGAACGTCAACAAATCAACTGCGTTTCGTCGTTTAAAAAAGGTTGGGTACACTTTGAAGCTCGATACATGGGTGCCACATCAGTTGAGTGAAAAAAACAAAGTGGACCGTATGTCAACAGCAATTTCTTTGCTTCGACGGATCAAAAACGAACCTTTTTTGGATCGGCTCGTGACTGGTGATGAAAAATGGATCCTGTACAACAATGTTCAACGCAAAAGAACATGGAAACAGGCACACGAAGGGGCGGAACCGATGTCGAAAGGTGGATTGCATCCGATGAAGGTACTGCTGTGCATTTGGTGGGATATCCGAGGCGTGATCTATTTTGAGCTCTTGCCAGCTGGAGAAACGATCACTGCCAACAAGTATTGTCAGCAATTGGTCGAATTGAAGAAAGCAATTGATGAAAAACGTCCGATTTTGGCCAATCGCAAAGGAGTTCTTTTCCATCATGACAACGCCAGGCCACATGTTGCAAAACCGACCCTGGCCAAACTGAAGGAGATGAATTGGGAAATCATGCCGCATCCCCCATATTCACCCGACATTGCACCTTCTGATTATCATTTGTTTCGATCGCTGCAGAACAATTTGAATGGAAAAAAATTTAAAAATGTGGAAGACGTCAAAAACCACCTTGACACCTTTTTCAACGAGAAACCGCGCGATTTCTATGAATCAGGCATCCGTAAATTGGTTGAACGTTGGGAGTGGATTGCCGAACATGATGGCGAATACATAATTGATTAATAAAAGCGCTTTCTTCAAAAAATTTCAATTTTAGTTTGCACTTGAAATCGGGCACGAACTTATGCACTCATCCAATATATCAATGTAGAGGAGAAGGATGACGAGAGAAGGATGACGGGAGAAGGGAAAGGGAATTTCAAGGTCGTAGGGTTACCACAATCACGGCAATATAATCACTCTCATTACCTAATTGGCACACCTCGTATTATTTGGGATTGCTTTTCTTTGTTTAGAATACTGCGATTGTTGGCGCCACCGACTCTTCGATTTCGTGTCGGGGGCCTCATATTTCATATTTCTATAGAAATGTCGTCTTGCTGATGTGATGACGCTTTTAATATTTGGAGTATTTAATCCATTACGCAGCTTGGCGCATGCTACAAAGTCACCCACATATACAAACATACATGATATGTTTGTACATATGTATGTAGTATGTGCGCGAGTACATCTTTATCATAAT